CAGTATTCTTAACAATTTGTTATTTGACAGTATTCTTAACAATCTGTCAATCAACAGTATTCTTAACAATCTGTTATTTGACAGTATTCTTAACAATTTGTTATTTGACAGTATTCTTAACAATCTGTCAATCAACTGTTTTCTTAACAATTTGTTATTTGACAGTATTCTTAACAATCTGTTATTTGACAATATTCTTAACAATCTGTTATTTGACAGTATTCTTTACAATCTGTTATTTGACAATATTCTTAACAATCTGTCAGTCGACAGTATTCTTAACAATCTGTTATTTGACAGTATTCTTAAAAATTTGTCAATCGACAGTATTCTTAACAATCTGTTATTTGACAGTATTCTTAACAATCTGTTATTTGACAATATTCTTAACAATCTGTCAATCAACAGTATTCTTAACAATCTGTTATTTGACAGTATTCTTAACAATCTGTTATTTGACAATATTCTTAACAATCTGTCAATCGACAGTATTCTTAACAATCTGTTATTTGACAGTATTCTTAACAATCTGTCAATAGACAGTATTCTTAACAATCTGTCAATAGACAGTATTCTTAACAATCTGTTATATGACAGTACTCTTGACAATCTGTTTATGACTTATCTTTTAATTGACAGTATTCTTGACAATCAATCCATTAACTGACAGTATTTTTGACAACTATCAGCTGACATTATTTTTTACAATATGTCCACTGACAATATTCTTGACAAGTATTCCCCAGTATTAATGATATCTAGTCCTCTTATTTTATTCTTGGTATATAAGTCCAGATAGTATATTTGATATTTAGCCCTCTTATGGTATTTGTCACAATTAGTACACCATAGTATTCCTGACAATCAGTCCACTGACAGTATTCTTGAACCTTCAGCATTCTTGACAATATGTTCTCTGAAATTATTCTTGACAATATGTTTTGAAAATATGCTCGCTAACATTATTCTGGATAATAAGCCAACTTACAGTAATTGGCAATCAATCCAATGACATTATTCTAAAGAATTTCTACACCTACATTTTCTTGACAACCTGTCCACTGACAATATTCTTTACAACCTGTCCACTGACAATTTTCTTGACAACCTGTCCACTGACAATATTCTTTGCAACCTGTTCATTGACAATATTCTTGGCAACCTGTTCACTGACAATGTTCTTGGCAATCAGTCAACTAACAATATGCTTGACAATCTGTCCATTGACAGTAATCTTGACAAACTCTCAACTGACAAAATCTTTGACAATGTATCAACTGACATTTTTGGATACTGTCAACTGACAATACTTTTGACAATCAATAAACTAACCAATTTTTTTGACAACCTGTCCTCTGACAATATTCTCAACAACCTGTCGACTGACAATATTCTTGACAACCTGTCCACTGACAATATTCTTAACCAGTCCACTGACAATTTTCTTGCCAATCAGTCCACTAACAATATGCTGGACAATCTGTCCATTGATAGTTTTCTTGACAATCTGTCAACTGACAAAATCCTTGACAATATATCAATTGACAATATTTTTGACAATTGATCAACTGACAATATTTTTGACAATTGATCAACTGACAATATTTTTGACAATTGATCAACTGACCAATTTTTTTGACAATTGATAAACTGACAATATTCTCAACAACCTGTCGACTGACAATATTCTTGACAACCTGTCCACTGACAATATTCTTAACCAGTCCACTGACAATTTTCTTGCCAATCAGTCCACTAACAATATGCTGGACAATCTGTCCATTGATAGTTTTCTTGACAATCTGTCAACTGACAAAATCCTTGACAATATATCAACTGACAATATTTTTGACAATTGATCAACTGACCAATTATTTTGACAACCAGTCCTTTGACAATATTCTTGACAACTGTCCACTGACAATACTTTTGACAACCTGTCCACTGACAATATTCTTGACAACCTGTCCACTGACAACATTTTTGACAACATGTCCACTGACAATATTCTTAACCAGTCCACTGACAATATTCTTGACAATCTGTCCACTGACAATATTTTTGACAACCTGTCCACTGACAATATTCTTAACCAGTCCACTGACAATATTCTTGACAACCTGTCCACTGACAATATTTTTGACAACCTGTTCACGACCAATTTTCTTGCCAATCAGTCCACTAACAATATGCTGGACAATCTGTCCATTGATAGTTTTCTTGACAATCTGTCAACTGACAAAATCCTTGACAATATATCAACTGACAATATTTTTGACAATCGATCAACTGACCAATTCCTCTGACAATATTCTTGACAACCTGTCCAGTGACAATATTTTTGATAACCTGTCCACTGACAATATTCTTGACAACCTGTCCATCTAGTGTTCTTGGTTTTGGGTTGATTTTCATACATCTTAGTTGTTTTTAGGGTTTAGTGTTGTACCTTTATTGTTTGTGTGTTGGTCAACACATATTCTGTTTGTTAGGGATCAAATATTGTGTATGTTCAAAGTATTGTGGCTGTTTGCTGTTATAAATGAAGTATTTTGGTTATTAATTAAGTAATAGTATACCTTGGTTGTTGATTGATGATTAATATTCCAGTTTATTGGTTTGTGATTGAAGTACTGTAGGTGTCTGATAGTAATTGGTCGAAAATGTAAAACCAATACAGAAATCAGACACCATTTCATTGAGTGAAATAACACCTGGGTCAATTACTGATTTTGTTCCTTTATGATACTCCAGTATGTTGGTTGTTAGTGATAAAATGATCCAGTGATTTAAGGTCATATCATTGATTATAATTTGTCTAAATGTTAGTGGCTCTTTTCACAGAAAAACACTAATCGTAAGTTACACTGGAATGTTCATGACTTATGAGTAATTTTTCTCATAAGATTTTTTGTAAAAAGAGCAGCAGATAGATAAGTTTCTACTTTGTTGTTTGGTTGTCTGCAGGATTGTTTAGTTGGTGACCAAATACTTGCTTTGTTGCTCAGGTACCATGTTTGTTGGTTAGTAGTCAGATACCCTCTTCTGTCGATTGAACACCCTATATATTGACAAATACAATAATACATAGATATAGGAAGATGTGGTATGAGTGCCAATGAGACAACTCTCCATCCAAGTTACAATTTATAAAAGTAAACCATTATAGGTCAAGGTACGGCCTTCAACACGGAGCATTGGCTCACACCGAACAGCAAGCTATAAAGGGCCCCAAAAAATTACTAGTGTAAAACCATTCAAACGGAAAAACCAACGGTCTAATCTGTCGTATAAAAACGAGAAACGAGAAACATGTATGAACTACATAAACAGACGACAACTACTGTAATCAGATTCCTGACTTAGGACAGGTGCAAACATACATATATGTCTCAGATATTGGTTAGTAACCCTTTTGATCATATACCATTCATTGTGGGTGGATGTGCAGTTTAATAGGAGGGTTGTCAAAGCATTTTTAATGATACCATATATAGTATTTTGGATGCTTATCAAGTACAAATTTTGAGCCTTATATATGAGTTGGTTGTTTATATGTTTATCTCTGTTTTGTTTTTACCTTTTTGAACGCCACACCAGCAGAACTGGACGTATAAGAAGTTGATTTTTAACATTGTTTTTGTTTTAAAGTCAGTTAAGAAAGAGAAATCAACAAATTTTTACAATCTTTCCCAATAAGATTACAGCAATACAAGGTCATTGATGATAATATTGTAGTGAACAGTGGCGGATCCAGAAATTTTCATGAGGAGGGGCCCACTGACTGCCTAAGAGGGGGTCCGCTCCAGTCATGCTTCAGTGATTCCCTATATAATCAACCAATGACCTAAATGACAGAGCACACATGGTCTCTACTGAAGCTAATAGTTTTGGCGTACCAGTATTGATTTCTTCAAATGAACATGTGTCAAAATTCTCAATACTATGGCTTGCTGATTCTTGGCAAGTAATTCAACAACAGTTTACTCTAAAGATCGGGAAAGCTCTTCATATATTTTTTTGTTCTAGAACTAATATGTTTCAACCATTTGATATATAATAAACTGAATCCATGTATTGTGAAAGGATATTGATCCCTCTGATGTAAGCCGTACCATATGATGTTGACATTCCTATTGACATTATATGGTAACATGTGTTGTGACTTTCCTGAAGTAACTTCACAATTCATTGTATGTATGATAGTGGATTTCTGCTCTGTATTAAGTTGTGTTTGTTATAAATGTAGTGGAAATCTCTCGCAACTTTTATTATTTGCTGTTTGTGTTTGGTTTTAATTTTAGCATTTCTGAATCAAATCTGGGTTGTTAAAGCCATGTGATGCTAGTACTCCATACACATTAAAAAGACTTGACAAATAAATTATCTTGTAGGCCCATAATAGGCCTGTTGGACAGCAATTTAACATTTTCTCCTCATAAGTAGTAGACCACCATCTTCAACAGCATGTGAACTGATTTACCATGTACCTATTTCTTGTCATGTGAATATAAGGAAGAGAATTGTTATCATGATTGACTGATTGATTGTTGCTTGTTTTTTGTGTCCTTGTTAGATGAACTTCATTAAGTAGAACTGGGAGAAAAGTATTTACAGTACCAGTTCTACATCTACAACTACATTTATTTATTTTTAGGCGATAATATCTAGTCATATAAAAATAAGATGTAGTATGATTGCAAATTAGACCATCTCCACCAGAGACCAAATGACGTAGAAGTTAGCAACTATAGGTCACCATACAGCCTTTAAAAGTCTATATTAAATTAATTCACAAGTTTTTTAGACTGGATTATTTAGAACTTGACATATTGTATCGACACCTGTTGATTGTTGAAGATTTTATGTTGATCTGTTAATTTTTTTGTTGGGCGCTGTCTCATTGACGTGAGCTATCATTGACATATACCTCACATCTCACTATACTTGTAACTGCATAATAGACTGTCGACAGAAAAGAATTACCAACTATTTATATATCAACTTTAAAGTATTTTTATTCTCTTTAAAGTACAGCAATATGATATAAGTAAAACCATAACATATTAAAGACTTTGTTTAAATAAAATTTTCAACATTAAAGAAACAAATACATTTATGTAAGAACAAATTTTTGTATTTATGACATAGTCTGACATTTTGTGATTTATATCACATTCATCGTTAGACTTTTTTAAAATGTGAACAAAAATTTACCACGTCATATAAAAATATCTTCCTTTTTATCATATTTTATATATAATATATACATAAGGCTACGTAAATAAACAGTACTATTTTAATACAAAATCTGTATAAGCAGAATGAAGAACATTTATTAAAATGACAACATGTAAAAAGCACATGATGCTGTAATTTGAGCTATTGTGATATTAACCTTCTATTTATAGATTAATATTTACATAACATGGTTTTACCATTGTACAACAATACATGATTAATGAAGCACATGAAATACTTTGGCTGATCCCTGAAAACGGATCTAAATGATCAACGGAAGATACTTTGTGTCATATATCTCTCACACACACACATCTCATCCATACACTTGTTGATATCGCGTCAACATGTATGGTTTATTTCTTTATAGAATCTGAATGACAAGTATGCTTGAAAAAAACAAAAACATGTGTTGTTGAAAGATTTAAAATATCCCTGAAAATTTGAGATCATTGAGATCGTGGCTATGTTATAGCCATTTATAATGTGTCCTAAATCACTTTGGTGATGGCACTTTGTTTTACTGACATAAATATCCCTGGTTAAGAAATGACCAGTCATTAGCACTGAGTTGAGTGGAGACACATTAGGACATTATATGTAGATAAATGAATTCCTTAGTCATCCTCATCTGGGTCATGTTCCTGAAGAACTGCCATAGAATCTTTTACTGCATGGTACATTATATTCTTGACCTAAAATATAACATAAAACTTCATTAAGAATTCATTGTATGCTTTAATAAATTAATTATGTAAACAGATATAAAAATATTTGTAATTTTGACCAGAGTTATCTCTCTTTGTTCAGAATTACTATATGTTCCAGCTACCAGTTGAATGCAACAGCTTTAATGCATTTGCAATTTATTATGGTAAACTTATAAGCTTTTCTAAGTTTGCTTACAAAAGGCAAATTACTTTTCTCTAAATCTCTTTCAAATATTATGTTATGAAAATGCAACAAATATTCTGATAGTGGCCATCTTTGTATCAATTATTCAAATTCATTCAACAAATACATTACCTGTAGTTTATCCTCATGGTTGGAATGTGTATCTGACAGACCTCGGAACTCTTGTGTGAGACTAACACAATGATTTAAGTGCTCAGGAGAAACAAAATCTTCAGCAACCTTTATACAACTGTGTAGATTACGAACTTGATGTGGTGCCCCTGCAGGTATAAATATAGCATCTCCCATACATTGTACAATAGTGTAGCCTAGTACACCATACTCCTTGTAAAGTCGTTCACGTAATTCCTCATCTAAATACCATGCCTGGTCATGGATGGGATCATGTTCAGCTTCTATCTCTTCACCTCTTTCTTTTCCAACCTGAAGAATTAATTATTTCATATCTATAAACTCTGTACACTATTCATATTTCTACATTTATCAGTCAATGCAATGAAAGAAAACAATCAAAAGAAGTGAAATGTATGTCATTAAAGAGCAAGCACCCTTCAAACAAAGGTTCATATTACTATTTTATATTACAAGTTCATGAATGAGAAATTTTTAGACCTTAACAAACAGTTCCTATATAAACGTGTAACTTTAAGCTTTTGCATTGCCTTTTAAACAGAGAATATTTACTTTTCACTCTGATGTAAAATATATGTCATCTGTATAAGACTGAAAACTCTGTAATATTCAGTAAGTATTTCGGACATAAATCCTGAATTTAATATTTTTCTTATATCATTCTGGTTATCAGTAGGTACTACAGGCATAGCTTATGATTTTAGAATTGGATATGGTAACAGCATACACAAAACGACTTTTCTTTGAGATTCCATTGTGTTTATGAAAGGTCACATGACCTTTATTTACAATATTTGATATTTATAAGTCACATGACATTTTCATATCTGAACAATTAGTGACACTAATATTTGTACATATTTATGACACTCAACTTGTCCAAAGTTGATTGGTGTATGAGATATTTATTTACCACAAAGTAATCATTGATATTAGATAAAGGATTATATATCTAGGTCAACACTACCTGCATTAACCATTTCAATGGAAATCAATTGATAGAGTTTTGTAACAATTAAGTGTTCGGCTGATTTAACAGAAATCAATAAATATTTCTATAATGCAAGTACTTGTTTAATTTAAGTGGTCTCTTAATGCATAGCGAAAAATTGATAGTTTTATACAATTATTAGTAAATTGAGGACATAATATATACTTAGTGCATCAATAAGACAACATATTTTTTCTGAATTTCAATAAATTTATAAAGTTTAAGACCCTATCTGGTTGTGATATTTTGTTCAAATGGCTGACTTCCTACCTTTTCCTTTAATGATTTCAAACTTACCATATTTAGAAAGTCTCTCATTTTGTCAGCATCAATGGCATCAAAAATATGCCACAGAGCTCCTGGTACTTCATACACCTCTCGTACACGTCTCTTGGTAATGATATCACATCCTGCATTATCAATTGCCTGTAAAGCAGCACTTTCATGTATTGCTTTTCCACCGGGTCCGTCATCAGGAATACCAACAAATACCATAACATTGACAGCATCAGAGACATCTAAATGCAGATTGGTAGTACCTTCAGCAGGAAAATATGCAGAGCCTGGAATAATAAATCAGTTACAGTCACATATAGTTTTTACCTTCAGTAAAGGACAATCTGGAAAAATAAACATGTTAGAGTGAAATATGATTTACTGTCAGTAAAGGACAGTTTATACAATCTGGAATGTCAAAGTTGACATTAAATTAACATTTAAGCAGAAATTTGTGCTATTTTAGAACATCAAAGTGATATTTAAATAAATTAAATATCATGGTAAATACTGTTCTCCTGTTAATCTTAGATGGGTGTATACTTTTCATTTATATTTATAAATATATTTTCAAACATGACAAAGCAATGACAAAGGATTTCTTTTTAATGCACGTTCCTTTAAAATTTATTAACATTCTTCTGGGTTTTGGTTGTTGAATATATATATAGTATATAACAGAAAAATATCAGTGTTTAAACACATACCATATGCATTGTACATTTTTGGTCCTAGATCAGGTCTTACGAGGAAATCAGGTAAACGTGATGCCAAGTTAAGTTTACCATGACGATGAGTATATTCCGGCAGAGGCAAAGCTTGCATGAGATCATCGAAATGATTTGGCATAATGTCGCTGAAATCATCACCAGGAGGCCAGTCCTTTAATTTGAGTAACATTGGGTTCTGGGTCTCATCAACTAAACGCTCTGAAAGAGTTAAAAATGTCTTTGATCAAAAATAAGTATTAACAGACTGAAGCTTAAACTGCTATTTTGATAATTATGCTCCATATCACAGAGTAAATATCTTGTAACCATAAACTTACCAAAAGCTATCAGCTTGAATAGAAAAATGGTCAAAGTACATGTGTATAAAAAAAAATAATCATATATATAGTCCTTAAGAACTGCTATAAAAGTTCTAGCAAGTGATATATATACCTAATGTGATGCATGATCTAACTCTTCCCCTAAAGCCTTTAATGTCCCTGGACATTTTACAGACAACCATCATCACCATCTAACACCCTTTTTTTCAAAACAAAATTGTATACATAGACATGTATATAGCATAAAAAACTATAACAAAAAGTAGAAAAAGTATCCCCCATCTGTTGATCTATTTTGTAACTTCATATTTTAATCAATATATCAAAGATACTGCCTGGAATTTATACAATATTTGACTGTAAATCTATAAACCTATAAACTTAAGTTTCACACCAATATTAAATTTCAATATTCAACTCTTTTCCATATTGTAAGATTATGTAATTCTAAATCAAAGCATTAGCAAAAGTAATTTGATCAATTTTCTCCGGTTCTTATAAGTTTTTTGTCAAGAATATTAAACAGTTTACATGATTATGTAGTCTGAACTCATTGGGTGTTACCTGTCAGATCTAATTTATAGCAGTTATTATCATGCATATGTTAGCTTTCATTGAAACAGAATTATAAATCATTCTGACAAGACTCAAATATTTCATCTCAATTCAAATAAAATAAAAATCTTTTGAAATGCATATATCATGTTTTGATGCTCTGCTAGGCCTGTGAAAAATTGTAGCAGACCTGATATAACAAACATCAACCAACCATTAGAACAAGGAAAAGGTTCAAAGATTTCTTTGAATTCAAGATAAATGTAAACAAATATCACAATTTATTTTTATATTACTTGTAAATGAGAACTGTTTGTAACCATCTAATTTTATTCATGAAATTAAAAGTTATAAAAGCCAGTCTAAACTGGATCCTTTTAAGTTGACAATTTTCATTAGGAAAACATAAGGTAACAGTAATTAACTAGTGCAAGTTCTTCTATAGTCCTTTGGTCTATCAGCAGAATTTAAGCTATAACAGTGTAAAGTACCCTTCAGGTTCATGTTTAAAAATGTTTCACTGTAAAAGTATCATAAACAGTAGAACTGAAGTTTTTGGTTAATACACAAGAACTATAAAACAATAAAATTTACCTTCAAGTTTTTCAAATCCATCCCAGAAATCTGACATTGGATGTCCAACCAATAAACATCCAGTTCGTGTATTTATCAGATCATTTTTTATTTTTCCAAACTGTTTACTAAAACTAGAGGGTCGCCATACTCCTTGATTTAATAGTTTATCCACACCCGACACTAACACTGGCTGACCCCGCTTCCACTGTTCCTGAAATATTTTGATATTTCCTTTGTGTCGCGCATCATGAAGTCGTAACAAACGTCCATCACAAAGCCAAGAATGAGGAACATCAGGATATAAAACACTAGTTTCTGTCAAGGTACGTTTTAGAATGGGAGCATCCCGTGCTATCATGCCACTATGACCAAATTTTGGAATGTAATGCAGTAGTTTAATTGGATTGTTATTCTCCACATCTTTAGGTAGTTGTTTTTCTACAACTGACTGAATTATATCATCTAAAGTATTTCCAGACTTTTTCGATTTTTTTGTTTCACTAGATTTAACTTTGCTGCCTGCTGTTTTAGTTAATAATTCCCTCAAAGTAGAACAACTAGCTGGATTTTTCTTATCCCCTTCATTTTCACCACCTTGTCCCCCACCACAGGGTGACACAGGCTCTGTGATAGGATTGTAAGATTTCCCGTATTTGTCCACTTTACTGTATGGAGATTCACTACGGTCTCGGCTATTCTCAGAGTCCATAGACGCTACGTCTGCTAGTAAACTTAACGGAGATGAGTTATCTGGATTGTAACTGTGAGCTTTGAAGTTGCCATTATGTTTTTTACTCCCTTTGAATGACTTTCCATGTTCATCAGTACCATTCACCATTTTCTTTCCATGCTCTACTGCTTGCTTCACAAATTGCTGAAAAAAAATCAGTGAATACTTAAATTAAATCAATGAATCTATATTGACATCTTACAAATGTTGTATAATTATTTTTTGATTTCATTTATCATAAGAAAACAGAAAAAAATGCATCTGCAGACTTGTTGATCCGTTTAAGAGAAAAAGAGAAGTAATGTAAAATAAAATGACCTGTAAGGCCCCTTACCCTGAACTATTGTTCTTCAAGTGCAATATGAAGGATAATTCTTAACAAGAAATGGTTATCAAGTGTGCATTTTTTTGCATTGTGCCTTAAAACATATAAAATATTTCCTGATTTTCTAATGAATGATGAAGCTTCAAGTACTTCTGATGAATTCACTTTCACCAGACAAGGAAGTAAAATACAGGGCAAATCAATACATCTTCTCACTACTTTTATCATATCAAAATAACATTGATTAACAATGTATGATTCAATACCTTTTTATATTTTTTATATTTATGATGGTGTATTAAATATTCTAAATCCTAATCAACATGTACAATGATTGTGATAAAATAATTCAGTAATGTTGCAAACAAACAAGTTAAATCAAGTTTAGCAAATTTTGATAAATCTTGGAATTGTTGTAAAAATCTCTTTTGTTGAGTCAATATTTTGTTTATGTCAGACTGGAGTAATGTGTCCCTGAATAGTGAGAGACAACAAGTGAAGTCTATCCTATATTCTATATGTCACACAGGTGTAAACATAACAGGTGTAATCTGTACTTTATTGACTATAAAATCTGCTCTGTCATGTCATTCCATAAATCTTGGTTTTTTTTCATATATTTTTTTCAAAAATTTTCTAAACATACCTGATTTATTCCATTTTTTTGTTGAAATTTGACAGCTTTCTGACACAAGCAGGTGGCCGGAAGATTCCATTTTGCTCTCATCTCATGAAGTAGTGTTCCTACTTCCCATAAAGCTAAAATATAGAAAAGAAAAATTAGTTTCATTTACATTTTTTTCTTTTAAAAACTGTTACTCATCTGTTTTCTTTATCTAAGCATTAATAAATTTATGTAAATAAACATGGTACATCTTGATGAAGGTTTACACTCAGATCATGTTTTTGTAATATAAAATTTATCTGGTATAAGGCAAAAGTCAGCTCTACTTTTAAGTCTGATCTGAGTCAACAAAAATTAACTGGCAATTACTATTCATATCTGGATAAAATGGGTGCATTTTCTGTGTTAACATTAGTTTACACTGCTTTGGTTACATTCAGATTGACTTACGTTTGAGGTATACAATGCTGTCCTATATAGGACAAAACAAAAAAAACTTGACTGATATGAAGGTAAAACTATTTATTTACTTACCACTTCTAGGAATAATTTGTGTTAACATGAGTTTATCTATCTCATGCTGCTGTCGATTGGAACTACAAGTAAGCCATTCTCTCTGCTCCTCATCGTCAGCAATCAGGTCGGTCTGACCTTTTTCCTCTCTCTCCATCTGTTTCTTTTTGACTTTATAACAGTCGAGACAGACCACAAAACCACACTTGTGACACACCCAGTGCATGTTAAATAATGTTGTATCACAGACATCACACATCTCACGTACACCGGTAACTGCTCTCTTCCAGGCAATTTTTGCTGAAATTACAGACATTTATTAAATTTCATATTGAAAACTAGTGTGAAAGTAGCAAACTGAACTTCTATGAATTGTAAAAAAAAAAAAGAAGAAAAAAATTCAATTTTCAATACCTTAGTAAAATATCTGCTGTCCTAATAATGAAATATACCATGATTTCACAATATCGAATTTTACTATCTTAATATAAAATTCATATGTTAGAGATAAAGTTATTCAAATCTTAAGAACATACAAATTCTTTATTTAGTCCAGTACTATTGTTTAAATTAATTTTTTTGAACTTCAAGTTATGTTATATTTGTTCTTGTCACAGTAAGTGACTAATAGTAATACATACCATCCTCACCAGCCTCGGCTATGGCATTTCTTTCTTGTTCAACCAGTTCACAGAATTTATCTCCCACTTTAGCAGCTATGTATTTACATGTTTCCAAATCCAGCTTCGGTTCCATGACAGGTGTATGAGGTAACCAAGGATCAATATCATCCTTCTCTGCATCCTCTAATTCAGAAAACCCAGCGATCGTTAGGAAACCTTTCTGACTGAATCTTAGTCTGAAAGAAAAAAAATCATAAACATTTAAACTATGAGCTCTTCAATATTTATATCTTACTACCTAGTAAATACCAAAAATGTAATCTGTTGTAGGAAATATTTTATCTGTACTTTATGAATAGAATGAAACTACTTTAAGTTTGCTTGATAAAATCTTTTCTTTATTGTTGATACCTCATCAAAATCTCTTGTATATGCCTTTTAGTTAAAGTATTAGAGACACTAAATGAGTCAGAAATGTGCAAATTACAACAACTATAAAATAGTTGTACCAAGGTTTATTGACTAATAAAGGAAGTTCAAAATGACAAATCTATTTACTATCTGACAGCTACTTGTAAGATTAGTGCAAAAAGATAGCAATAACTGAGCAGTCAACAAACTCCCATCTAATCTCACAATTTATTATTATGTAATGCTCACAGAAATTTGTATTTTAATTAAATTTATAAACAAATCGCTTTAGAGATTTCTTACATCACTAATCTTATTTTCAAACAACCTTGGAATTTTCAAGTTATGTAATGTTAAGAAAAAGATAACATTTCCTAAACACATTGTGTTACAGATTAATTACATAAGACATACATTAATCAAGATTGACCATACAAAACAGGAAATAGAACTCCTAAGACATTTTATTATCTCCATGATAAACAACTGAAATATGAAGATGATTAAACAGAAAATCGATATTGTCACCACTAATGACACGTCAAACACCATTATGTGACTAAGTCTTGTGGTTTTTTTATTTTATGTCATACAGGTGGGGTCTTTTAAACATTTGACTTCTAGATTTTTAGGTAGGAGACAATGTTGTCACATGACTAACTTAGAAAGAGATGCTACTAACAGAATCTAATGCCAGTTCAAACTATTTAAAAAGCATTGTTAAGCGTGGATTAATGACCTTGTCCTATTTTTACCCTACCAAAAGGACAGAGATGAATTACCTGTAGTAGTTTGTACCTTGAGGTGTATATTACACGATTAATGATATAAAGTTGCTGTATTAATGTATAGTCTCGATGGGCCATTAATTCAAACTATGTCAACATAAAAACATCCATTTACTGAACTATATTTACACAGTGTCAACATAAAAGTTATGAGTTGTTTTTATTTTTGTTGGTCATTATTCTGTATTGTGACTTACTCCTACTTTTAATTGTTTCTAGGATTCACACAAATTTGCATAAAATGTTTTAATTGAGACTATTTGATGGGTATTGAATCAGTCAGTTGTCAGACCAAAGATTACATGAGCTTATTTATGATGAAAGAATCTCCAAATAAATTAGACCACTTTTCTACTAAATATTTTTTATGACCTTGACCAAAGCAATAGTTCAACTTGTGTTTACAATATTTGATTGAAGATTATTCTTTATATTATTTTAAACTTTCCCCTATGTCTAATAAATTTCAGAAGTAATTACATGTCTATACAAAACAGGTCAAAAAGTAAATGAAATGGAAAAGCTATTAACATTTAATACTGCTCTGTGAATTATATTGATTTAGATTTAAACGGCCTGAAGGAATTTCTTTGATATGTAAAATGAGAATTAATATTTATAGGGAGCCATTAAAATCTAGATAGAGTGCATTCTCCTGACTAGTAATGGATTGCTTTATGATGGTGTTTACCTATGGGAAGCTAAAAATAACATGTAATAGCATGATATAACTGTGTCTATTTCAATAATTAATGACATACACCTTCCCATCAAAATTTAATTATATAAAACATGTAACCATTATGTAGGCAATAATGTCAAAGTCTAATTCAAAACAAAAATAAACCATCATGGGTAATAAAAAAAATAATGAAAAATAAAACCTCAAGGTCATACATATTAGCTGCCTTTCTTAAGCTGACAACTGGTAACTGAACCAAATATTGAGGTTGGCACCTGTGTTCACTGGTAACCTTTACAATAAGGTATCTTGTTGAGAGGTCACCTTTACATACAAAGACTCAACAACAATTGTGTCAAAAGGCAATCTATACAAGTAGAAACCCATGTTCAGAGGTCATCTCTTCTAGAAGTCAAAAGGCAATCTATACAAGTAGAAACCCATGTTCAGAGGTCATCTATTCTAGAATACAAATGAGTTCAGAGGCATTCTACAGAAATCTAGTTTTGAAATCAACCTCAACATGATTTATTTAAGAGGACATGTGTCTTCAGAGGTTAAACCTACCAATACCACCTTAGTTCTGAAACAACCTCAACACAATAACAAATCTGTTTAAAGGACATATCTGCCTGATGAAAGCTGCATTTACAGGGTCACCCTAGAGGACACAGGTATTTGGAGGTCATATCTACCAGAAGACACCTGTATTAGGTCACCTTGGAAGACAAATCTGCCAGAAGACACCTGTATTTAGGAGGTCATTACAGAAGCCATATCTGCCAGAAAATGCCCATATTAGGTCACCTTTGAAGACATATCTGCCAGGAGACACCTGTATTTAGAGGTCACCTTAGCAGACATTTGTCAGTAGACACCTGTTTTTGGAGGTCATCTCTGTCCAAAGACACATGTGTATTCTTCACAATGACACGTGTGTTTTGAACAACCTCAAAAGGATAACAATGATTAAAGTGGACATCTTTTCAAAATGACACTTTTGTTCAGGTTATTTCTACAAGACATTTGTATGCAGAGGTAGCCCTTTAGTTTAAGCAGACGCCTGTGTTCAAGGTCACTTCTAAATGTATAAACTTCGGTGAATAAAAGTAATTCTTCAGGGCAATAGCCTTTAAATGAAGATCATTTGATTCTGGTATTAACTTCTACTACAAGAATAATCAGTCTGTCACAGTCAATAAACAACCTAACTCGACATGAGATACTGAAAACAATGAAACATTTCATTCCTTAACATTGTCCTCCATACAAATAAAATTCAATAAAATCCAATAAAACAACAGAAGAAATCACATGATTAAGTATTGAAAATCTACACAATAAATCCTCCAAAGACTCAAACTATGTTAGCATTTGCAATATAGTTAAATGTCAGAGAGGAATAAATTTCCGATAATAGAGTTTTGTCTACTGATATTTAGGATAACATGTCATAACCAGAATGTAATAACTAAAGTACATCCTATGAACCTGCAAAGTTACAAAACAATGTTCTCTATTGATTCTATTTTGGCTTTATTTAGTCTGCATTATTACAGGAAAGACAGATTTTGTTTGTTGGTCTGTCTGTCTTTATGTTTGTTGTGTCATTTGTTCTTTGGTATCTATGAAAATACCTAGCACAAAACCACTTATACTTTGACCTTCCAAAGTCATCAGAATAAATTATGTCATTAAGAAAACACCCGACTAAGGCAAGAAAATACCCATCTAATGCATTCTAATACTTATTTTAATCCTCCACTCATACAGAAAGAAAATACAATGAGATATATTGCTGTTAAAACCCCTGAATTCCATGACCAACTTTTATTATGGCCTAGAATCGTGTTAAAACCATTTACAACAAATCAATAGTACTTAATCATGTAAATTTAATCCAGGTGGGTTTTAATCTATTTCCAATTATTTTGCAAAGTAAGAGATCTATATTGTTTGCATTTTTGATCTGAGTAATAGGATCTATTTAGAATTAAACAAAGTCCATATATATATACAAATGAGTTGTGATATGACCCTGTCATGACCTTGAAAACAAAGCTTTTGTCGTATTGCAATTCAATGAGTTATGTCTGAATATGTCTAACAAAATGATCACAATTTACCATTGTTCTGGATAAGCTACATCTAAGAAATTTTTACCAATTTCAAGATTAATTAAATAAATTAAGGACAGGAAATACTGACTTCCTAAGTAAACAAGCATTCTGAGAGTATTGCATGGCAATACATAGTCCCCTACCGGTTAAGAATTCATTGTACTGGAACAAAATGCTAACTTGATCTATAACTTGTCATGGTGTAAACTATATAACAAATATCAAGTCAATATATTCAAGCATGATGAAAAAAAGTGTGGAAAACTAAGTATTTGAGAGAATTTTCAGAGTCCAAGGACCATAACTCTGCATAAATCATCAGACTGGAACAAAATTTAAACTATATACCAAATTTCAAATCAATATCTTCAAGCACGAAGAAAAAAGTTTGGAAAACTGATTTGCCGGACTGACGAATGGACAGACAAACAGATGGAAGGAGTTCAAACCTAAAGTCTGGAAAAACATGGTTAAAAAAAAATCAAGTCCTTAGGAAGAAATTGATGAAGGGTCCAAAAGTTCCACCTTGGCCTAAAAAGAAATCTCTTAAGGGTAGAATCTTTCAAGCATGTTCAGTTTCTAACATTCTGAACGCCTAGAATCTACAGAAGATATTTGGGTAACTTACCGTCTGAAAGCATAGAATCTACAAAAGATGTTTGGTAACTTTTTGCTCCTCTGATTTGGTGTCATCTTACACTCTCTACATTTCATCAGCTTTGGAGTCACTTCACTACAGGAACCAGCTTGTAAAAATGGCTGACATGTCTTTTTTAAAGTAGCTATAGAGGCTTTTACCAATGGTTTGTTGAAATTGGAACCTGTGTAAAGATAATACAAAAAGCATGACAATAATGTAATATATTATGTAGAAATACAGATATTCTTATTTACCCATCTATAGAAATCCCAACACACCATATGTTATTTCTAAGTTCTGGTATGTGAAATTTTGCCATGAACAAATCTATTTTTATTGAGAATAAAATTTTCAATATGTTCATCATTCTTTGTTTTATCAACAATTACAGGTAAGTTTCACATCAAAAGACTACAAACAAAAACACTGACGAGATAATATGATGTACCATCTTATTTCTGTTTTAGATTAAAATTATACATTCCAACAGCTGCAGATTTGGCTACAAAACTACATATGTTCTTTTAATAATGTTTAATAATGATATAATTTTTATTACGTCTTAGCTTGTCATACATTCTAATTATAATCAATGACTACATACCTCCTGCAGGGTTAGTTTCTACTGGTTTGGTGACACTGGCTATTATGTCCTTCACCTCTTTCAATGTTGCTTCCTTTTGCACTTCTTTGTTTTGTTTCTTGTGTTTCTTTTTCTCTTTCTCCTTTTTCACTGGTTCCGGTTCTGTTTCCATGGCAACTGGAACTGGTTCTTCTGGTTTTTCAATCTCAACTGGTTCTTCCTCTTTGACCACATTAACCTCTGTGTTTTCTACTTCCATTTCAGTTTCTGAGTTAAACTGTAACTGGAAGACAAATGTCATATTGCTAATTATAATATTGAAAACTATTTCAGTAATTTACACTGGACTACAACATAAACCTGTTTACATGTTTAGTTACCTATCTGGTCTGCCTGTGGTCACTTCAAGCAGGTCAAACTTTTAATTAGGATGATGGATTAGTGTTTAACATCCAGTTTGCAAATATTACATACATATCAGGATGAGAAAATGTTGATGATATGAATAATATCTCTGTTTTGTACTAGATCGACATGCTGAGCAGGAATTTTAATGTGCTAGTTCACAAGGTTTACAAACAGTTTATCCTCTCTTTTCTTCTATCTAAACAGTGCATTTCTTTCTAACCAAACTTTTGTAAACATTGTGTGCCGTTTGTTATAGTTTGTTAAAGGTTACAAAAGTAGAGACAAATGCATCGTTTAATCAGTGTTTACTGACCCTGATTGAACTGTCAAAAATGCATGCACATGTTGTCGGTAAAAACTTATTACGCTGGGAAACTAGCTTCTGTAGAAGATGTTTTAGACACAGAGGACATCGCTCTTCATATGCATATATATTCTTAATGTCAGTTCATCATCTTCATCAGATGAATGTATGAAGATAGTGATAAAACCTTTTAATTGAAAATAGCAGCAATTAAAAATTTGTGACATTGTTTTGAGTTATGACAATCAGGAACATACCTCTTTTTCTTTCTTCAGAATCAGTCTTTTTTTAGTGGGAAACATATGTGTAGATAAATGATTCAATGTTAAAGTTAGAAAGAAATGCAGTGTTTGTACTAACAAACGACGAATGACAAACTGTAGACGCATTTATGCAAACTTTGCAAACGTATGTTAAAAACAAATGATCTAAAGGCTCGCTGAACCGTTTGTATCGTTTGTGTTAGAAAGAAATGCAATCTTAGATTGTGTTCTTATCCTGGTTATGGGTTTAATTCTACACCAGCTATCTAATACCCTAACAGAACATCTAACAAACAATCACACTTAATACCCTAACAGAACAACTATTCTCATCCTCAATATGTTTATCTTTCATGCATTTCTGGAATTTGTTGGTACACAGCAACATGAGTAAGGAATGTTTGTGATCTATCATTTAGACTTTAACAACAATATTTATAGCAACAGATTGGTTTTATCAACAAGTTACACCGAATATGATATAATTCATTAAAAATGTATGAAAACACTGAATAATACTTATCTAATAGTTATCTAATGCACTCACAATGCTAATTAGAGAAAATCAATTTCATTAAAAAATGTAAATTTTATTTGAATAACATTTGGACACTCATCTTTCTATGCTATAAACTCCCCCTATTGATTGACTATATATTAAATCCCCCAAGGTTTCATTAAAAGTTAGGTCAATAAAGATTAATAATTTACACAATAGTTGGGAGGATCAATCTTTCTACATTGTGAACACTCAGACAGAATCCATATTCTTTATACACTGTATTTGCTTAATGGGAATTAGAAAATCATTCAGGTTTAAATGGCCTGTACTATTACAGAATGAAAATATCAATACGCTTACTGTTCTCAAATACCAAACAACATGTTTAATCAGCCGAGAATCATAATAAATAAGTTTAAATTGAACTGTAATGTTTTCACCAATCCATTTAAATAGTTATACATATTTATTCAATAACAAATTATTATACTTTAAATAACTCTATAGGTTTTTTAAATTCAAATGCCATGCTTGCTTGACTACAAAGAAAGCCTCAAGGTTTTGAAATTCTAAAGGGGTAATTAAATAAGACCTAAGCCTCTTACCACAAGATAATGTCAACTTAGATAATTTTAACACATAACTGATGAAGGAACATTTTCTGCTTTTCTGTCATTGTATGAGAACTTACTGGTTGTGGAATTTTGGTAAGATTTTCTACTGGTTCTTTGGAATCTTTTGGTTTTTTTGTTTTGCGTTTTGGAGCACTACTACTGCTACTATCATCAGAATCTACTTTGGTCTTTTTAGGATTTAATCTTTTTGTCTTGGTACGCTTTTTTCCAGAGTTACCATCAGTGATCTGAAAAATGTGCAGTAAAATTTGTTCAAATATCTGCAGAAATGAGATAGACAGAAATTAAAAGATATGACAGTTATGGAGATCAAACGCTAAAATTAAACAGCCAAATATGAGAGGCAAACATTACATCCTATAAGAAAACATCCACCCTTTATACGAGGCTAGCAAAACGGCAGCCATAAGAGAGAATTGCTTTGTACTTAAAATAACCTTGAAAGTTTACAGGGATCATCATTCATGGTAGTAAGTGGTAAAATTCTCAGCAAATATTTGTGATGTTATCTAATAATGACTCCAGGATAGAAAATTAAAGGTCCTATACAACCCACACAACAATTAATATGGTAGTAAAATTCAAATTTGTCAAATTTTGACATAAAGAAGCCATTTTTTTGTATGTTTATAAAAGTTCTTAGTCATCATCAAAAGTAGGTTGTGGGGTTCCCATTGGGGTTTACAATTACCACGGCTTTTTGTTATAGCTAAGCAGGAAAATATTTAATGGATGAATATTTCCTCTTATTAAAGTACTTATACTTAGCAAACAGAGTAAAGCAGATTATCTATATAACCACAGGATGTCATCTCCTTCCTTTATAATAGTGTTCTTCAGTGTTAACGACATACAACACATTCACAGTCTAGTCATGTGTGTGCAAACAGATTCATTCCTAAGATGGCCCTTATAACCTATTCTGGTATAATATAACTAAAAATGGAACCCGCCATACATTATTCATGTTTTAGAGATTTATATGATTAACTTGTACTTTCAGATGTTAATTAAATTCTGAGCAGAGTATGGTTTATAATTTCTTGTACTAGATTTAAGGTGAAGTAAACAAAATCTTGACAAAACAGGTGGTAAAATAATCCCTGTAGTGATGGCAGGCAATCAAACTAGGAGTAATTAGGACTGTCTGTGTAGCACATCTAATTACTAACATTCTATGATCACTTAACCAATCTTTATACTGGCAATCTTCCTACAGTCAAGGTTACTAAATATCAAATTATTGTTGCTAATTTTTCTGGCGTAATCCATTGGGATAATTTTAATAAAAGATATTGGTCATTGTATCATTATTCATAAGAGATCAATAATAGATGCAGATACTTATTACACCACTTATGACAGAAGTGCTAACCTGAAAGCAGGTGTGATTGAGTTATTAACATATTATCACATATCTAAATAAAAATAAATATGATAAATATGATACGAGCACATGAACACATGCGTGTCATATGAGAACTGTTCCCTTTTTAATGCAAATTGTTACATCACAAAACAATTTTAACAACACAAAAACCAATAATCCCCAGATTCCTCTGTAACTAATTTCTTTGTTTGTGTAATGATAGAATTCCTGACTTTTGATATCAGACAAGTTATTAATTACATCTCTATCACAATAAACCAATACATCAGTGGAATTTTTTGGCACAATTACAGTACTTGACGAGTTTGGCAAGATTTCAGTAAATATTTGTGTGTAGTTTCTCTGGCAAACCTTACCATTTCACTAACACTCTATATTGCATCATAGAGTCTGGTTTACTTATAATCATGTAAACAAGTATCCAAATATAAATAGGAGCCTCTCCTACAACTTACATTCTGACAAATGTGATAGAACTACAAGCAGTTGTCAGAAAATACTTTTGTGTATTTCAATGCATGATATATCAGTAGAAAAATCACTGTTTTGTAAATTGTTTACTTTTAGTAGGCAGATAGTCACAAAAATGCTAAATAAACCCATTAACCTGATTCACCAAGAATATATCTTAGCACACATCTTGCATTGAACTAATTTATCTGTGCAGCATAATAATCTCATAATCTCATTATAATTTTCACCCTGGATTCATTCTTACATAATCTGTTAACAAGCAATTTATATAAAATGATGATAAACTATGTTGAAGTGTTTCATACTTGACATATAAGTATGAACAGGGTTACATTTCTTTACTGTATAATACAAACCTGTGTCTCTGTCTCCGATGCTGATGTTGTAGATTCATCGCCTTCCTTCCCATTACCATTAGGTAACTTTAGAGCACTAATTGGAGATTTAGATCCGCCTTCTTTGCTGGGTGATATGTACGAACAATTCACATAACAATTTTTGACCACTTCACCTTTTTCATTGACGACATTTTTTTCACTTTTAATTGAACTTTCAGAATTTTCATCATGTAAAAGAGGTGAAGTTTTAGTTGAGACTTTATCTTCTGAATGCCTCTGAAGCCATGCTTTCTTCAGTTTTGGATGATTTGCTGATTTGTGGGGTGATGAATCCGATTTGACATTAGGTGGGGGACTAGGAGCACTAAGTGTATCACTATCTGTATCTAATTGTCCATTTGCAACACGATTAATTGTTTCCAATAAAGTCACCTGGCTATTTAAGCTGCTAGTACTACTGCTTAGAGTCAATGAAGTGGCCTCGTCATTTGCCATAGGAGTGAATTGAATTGGATCACTCTTCCGTCTCTCCTGATTTTCCACACCAGTACTGGGTGCTATAGAAGTAGCTGGGGGTGTTTGGGACAACCCCTTATTACTACTTGATGTTGTTGTTGCTGTCATTTTTTTATTTTTATTAAAATCAGGATCTTGGAAGAATGCATTCTGAACTGCATTTTCTACAAAAGTTTTAAAACTGTCCATGAATCCTGATCCGGCTGCCGTATAATTTGATGGTGAGGTAATGTTAGATAACGTATTGCTGCTGCTAACACTAGAGGTTGTGGTGTACGGTGAATGATTGGTTAATATTTGTGGTGTTGTATTAGGAATGAAATTATTGCTGCTAGTTATTGGCATGGAATTTTCTCCTTTCTGTCGTTTCCTGTTGTTGCCCTCCTTGTTGAATTTTCTTTTAACTCCCTGACTTCCGGGTGAGATTTCTTGAGCACTAGTACTAGATGCTGCTTTAACAGTAGTCTGAGAGTAAATTGGATTTGGTACAAGTCCTTGCTGTATTAGACTGTAGCTGTAAGCCATGGATCCAGTTAATGTAACCGGAGGCTGAGCAATAGATGCTGTCACAGATGAGGAAGACACAGGAGACTTAGACTGAACTCTGGGCTTACGGTGGTAGTCAAGAGGCTGTGAGATGGCTGCTGAGAGCTGATGTGGATCAGCCACATGAAGGGGACTATGACTTCTAGGGATATGTTTATCACGATGAGCTGACAAGTCCATTGACTGAGACATGTAATCCTGATGAGAAGCCAAGGGACTGCCTGATGTAAGTGATGAGTACTGGCGGTCTGGTGTATGTGCTGGTTTTGGTTGTGATCGTGGAGACGTGGACGGTACAGTAGAATGATGAGAATGAGCAGGACGTGGACTACTTGATTTCATCCTGTTATCAACAATAACAGAACTATGTGATTTGCTGTCTTTGATCAATGGTGGGGGTACTGACACAGTTGAACGTTTAGAGTCTTTTTCCTCTTTTCTGTGTTTATCCCCTAGTCCATATGATTGCAATTGTTCTGAAGAAATATAGGAATGTTGAAACGGCTGATAACCAAACAAACTAAATTTTGGTTCCTGTTTGATATTTGCCGTAGATGAGGGAATGGAATAACCAGGGTAGTACATGTCCTTCCCTTCTTTTGTTCCTTTCTCTATTTTTTGTTCTTGTTTAATTGAAGCTTCTTTTACATGTTTCAGGTATTTTTCTCTTTCGATCATCTCCCGTTGAAGATAATCCTGGCGAATTTGTTCTTCAGTTAAATGCCTTTGTCTTAACTGCTGCTCTTTCTCCTACAAAAACAAATCAATGTACTACAAAGAATCAATAGACAAATTACAATAGGAAGGCCATTATGTTATTCAATACTTCAGCTTTTATGTAAATTATAGGAGAAATTAGTCAATAGTTATGACAGAGGTAGATTATGTGTAGGAGCAAACTGGATGTTTTATGGCCACTCAGTATGAGTAAGGACTTTCTGATTACTGATTTAATAGAGCTGAAATTTATAGGGCAGTAGTCTCCTGAATAATTCAAATCACCTTAAAAATAGATTTCCATCTAAAGTGACAGGATCTAAATTGGCACAAAATTCAGTTGAATTCAATATTCTATTGCCATTAAACATTTGATTTAGGTATATGACAAGCAGTCAATAATAATAAAAACAACTAAAATAGCAGTAACATATAAAGGAATAATTGGAAATACATTAAGTACATATCACTAAATTCAATCTCTCAATAGAAAGTTAAAAAAACAGATGTCACTGCCAAAGAGACAACTATCCAACAGAGTCCAAAAAAGCGGGACTCTCAACCTCATTTCAAATGAATTTTATGGAGGAAACTGTGGTTTTAATTTGAGTGTAAAAGAGTATTTATTCTAGTTAATTTTGTTTCTATATTATTAAATTTCATAAGTATAGTTTTTATGTCCTTTTAATAGTTCTCTCTAAATTTAATAATCATCACAATTCATCTAATGCTATATTTTTGTAATATTTAAAATGTTTTTACATCCTGGATATTTTCTGTGAAATTTTATTACATCTATCCATATGTAACATTTTTTTTTATTCTGTACTGTCAGTTTTATATAGTGTGCCTTTTATTTGAATCAATAAAATTGTAATTATTATTACAGATGGTGTTATGCTTTTTCCAATTAAATATTTGTCGCAAAGTTTTAATGTCTGGGAAAATTCTACTATTTCTAACCCCTACTTCCACCTTCCAGTAGCAAATAAATTGCGAGTACACAGTTTAGTCACACATTGTACATATGTATCTAATACCTATAATTTAGTCATAATTTGCATGTAGTATGTACTATCTCAAGGTCAAATGATAACAAACAATACCCTGGGAACCAAAGAATTAGGTCAATGTCTTACATATTTATGAGTTTAACTAACCAAACAGTATTTATGTACATAAAATATATTGTTTTCAACAATCAAGATTCCTTTGTGATAGCATATCAACAGAGAATGGTTAAATGATTCCACCTGTGTTGAAGCATGAATCAGAGTTGTAACATGAAGCAAGTAGGAAGCCTTTCTAGCTCTAATGATTATGCCAGCTACCAATTTCTAACTAAAATATTAGGTGCATGTGTACCTGTTTGATTTTTTCCTCCATGGATTTGGTGGCCTCTTGTCGCCTATCCATACCATGATGCTCAGATTTGGGTGGCTTTACTGTGCCTTGGACTATTGATGGTCCAGACCACTGAGCCTTAATGAAAGAATAATAAAATATTGTAAGCTGACTCTCGGTTTTTCATACATCAATGCTAATCTATTTTATTCATGAAGATATCAATGGAAATTTGGGTGAACTCTTTTCAAGCTACCATAAACAAAAACAAGCAGACTTCAAACAGACATGCAACATCTGTATAGAAGTGAATTACACCTAAAAATCTTCTTTCTTTATTGAAGGCAGAGGTTAGATAGAAATAAACTCATCAACAACATTTGGTCAACAGCCAATACATAGTTGTATCAAATAAGGAAGGGTATTCATTTACACACAGCTAAAATTGGCATCTATTGAAAGTATGTATAGCAAAATAATTGAAGTTTCTACTAAATAGCTGAATATTGATACCTAAAAATGAAATGTCATGAATAAGCAGGTGTATGAAAGGTCAAATTTCACTGCAAGGTAGATATTTATAAATTTAGACATAACATCATTCATGCGGTTGAGAGGGAATACAATCATTATATATATATATAGACTCTATGAAATTTGTTGTCCCCACTGTCTATGTTTAGAAATACTTATGTTAGTCTTTTATAACATGAAAAGTAAACAAGAAAAATCTTGTCTTCATGTACTGCTTTCTTATTGAAAGAACTTAACATTGTGTTGTGAAACCTAACATGATGTTAACCTTGAAATACAAATAATAAACACCATATTTGGTATGTTTAAACTTCGTATATATTCAAATCAGGTTGCATAAAACACACACAGTCTAACCATAACCATTTATCTAAGGAAATCTTAATTTCAATCTGTTGAAAGATGACAAAAGAGATAGGTACACTTCTAAAGAATTTTAAAATAACTAAATACATTGTTAATGTGCTATGCAGTGTATTAATTAGTTTTGTCAGGACATGAAGTGATTAAGGCCTTATAGAAAAAGAAACTTCCATCTAATTACTCAGTCTTTCTCAACAATTTCGTGACCTTTGAACATTTAAACAGGCAATGTATAGAAAATCCTCAGACCATATTTCCTTTAATAACTATTTAAATGTCACCATTACTTGGCATGAAAAAAAACCTTCCATTTCAGCTGAGAATCTAATTATTGCTATGTGTAAATACAAGTTGTTAATAACAATATTTGCCAATAAATAATTGAAAAGCCATTGAATGTAAAACCAATGATAGAAATCAAACTTACTAATAACAATTCACTCGAGCAGAACAAATGCTGAATTGAATATTCTATACTTAAAAGGCTTAAATTGATTTTAACTTGAACAACATTAAACTTGATATAAAACCCCTACTGAGACCTAAGAAGACTGATTTATTGATAGGTCAATATATACAATGTTTACTTGCAGATTTATTTTTGTCACATATGTTTACTACACTATAAACCTTGAACTATTTAGCATTATGAAACACTAGAAAAGAAATGTAGTTACAACATATATTTTCCTAAGCATATGACAAGTTACTAGCCTATAGAAAGAGTTTAAGACATATAACTTTTTGTAGTCAGTCAATTTGATCATCACACAATTTTGAATAAAAAAAGTGTAACCTCCTTCCCAATTGTTTATGATTTAACTATGTTATGAATTCCAGTATAGCTATGGTAAAAACATTTGATAAACTTATTAAGTGCACACAGCATATTTTGAGTGTATGCTCAGCATTAATTTAACATTTTAGAGCATAAAAAAAAAACCTTCTTATAACAACCAAATCCATCTATGGTCCAACAGTCTGCCCTAAACTGCCTATACTAGGCCAAAAATCAAATATCTATTGTAAGGTAAATTATGTTGCCTCCCTTTGTTTGTTTTTCAAAGTGCATTCTATACAATTGATTTCATGTTTGAACAGGGTTTAGAGGAGAAATTGCAAGTAAAACTCTGCTTTCTATTCAGATTAAAGGTATAATTCATAGACTGTTCCTCTTTTTAGACCACTATTTACAATGCTTAAAAATCCTGTCTAGTAAAAATTGTTTGTGCTAGTGTTAAAATCACTGCCAAAGATAAAACGCAGAAACTAACCTTCTGATTGGCCAACATCAGAGACTGTTTAAAGTGGTTGTCAACAGCAGCTAAAGTGTCAGCTGATTCCTTCAGAATTCTCTCCCTTTCCACTCTTTGTTCCCTTTCATGTTCTCTCCTCCATTCATTCTTCTGTCTTTCCTGTCTTTCTAATCTGTCCTTTTCCTCCTGTTGTCTTTCTCTCTCCAATTTCTCTCTGTGGATATAAAGATAACACCATGTAAAAAACATACATTGATACCTGCCAACTTCTCAAAATCTCTACATGATGGGGATTAAAGCACAACCTGATCTAATGAATCTTGTATACTATTGTTTTGAGTGAGTATATATGTGTGCTGAAATGCCAATTTAAATCCTTTGAATGCCTGTTTTAAGGTATTCAGTTTACACTATGGACAAATCTCCCATTAATCAGGATAGCGGGTAGCTTAATTTGGTGCAGGCACAAAATATGGTAGGGTTAAATCAGTTTCACAAACATATATTCCTATGGTTTCTCTAAAAAAAATTTGTAAGAAGTGAAAATTTTCATCAAGTTTTGGAAAGAATCAAAAATTGTTTATGTTTTCTTTTATTTAACAGTTTTCTTTCTCTATGCAGATAAAAGCATTGTTTACTTTGACCTTACACAGGAATCAAATAGAACAGAGAGTTACAAGTGGGTAGAGTAGACTTGTGGTTAACCATGATAAGAAACAAACCAAGTAGGTCAGGAAGTGCATGTTTAACATTTCAAGGAAGACTTCACTTATTTATATTCAGACATATGATTCCGCTGTAAATAGAGCTTTTTAAAAGTTTTACCAAGGAGTGTAACTCTATATACTAACAGTGTTCTTATCTAATTCAGGTTTTTACCTGTCACCACAAAAATTTCACCATTAAATGAACTCCTGTGCATAATTAACAGGTCACTCGGAGCAATGCATAAAGGTTTTATTGTTCTTATGTTATACAAAATACTGGGTATTCTATTACAGAAAAATATGTACTATCCCTTTAATTTCTTAACATTTTAATACAATACTAATGAATGAATAAGGAAACAAAGTACAAAGTCGAAGACAAAACATGAGAAACTTTTAGATCACCCAGTCCTACATAAATTGTCTGAAATCTTTTTTTCAAGTAAAAATCTTTCACTTTGAAGTACACATAGTCATGGAGAACACAATTTAATAAAATCAATTAAGCATTAATGTTTTACTCTGTTTGAGTATTATCATTGGAATCGGGATTGTTTGGTGAACATTTAATAACAGTAGCTTGCAAATGTCAATGATTCTGGAAAAACCAATGTTGTGAATAAGTAAATTAATGACATCAGTCTACCAACAAATGTTTTAACATGAAAATCAATAACGAAATCAATATATTACACTGTGAATAGGGTTTAATACCAACTTAACAGTTTATTCCTGTAACATTGTAAAGCTGTAATCAATATTCTTTATAATGATTAGATTATATAATGTTTCACCAACAGGGTAAAATGTATTAAGTTTTGATTAGTAATTAGTGTCATGTCTGGTCTGTAAGTGTTAGAAACATGTGATACAATGGGTAATTATCCATCATATATCTTATTACTTCTCAACTAACCTTTGCTTGTCAAATTTGTCTATTTTTTGTTGTTGATAAATTCAAAACAAAACCACAAAAAAATCACTGCTTTTTTAATGATTCTGAATCCTTTATCAACTGACACTGTATATATTTTCAATGACAGTAAACAATATTCAGCTGCAAATCATCCCAAAAGATCATTAAAAACGATGACCGAGATCAGAGTGTATCCTAGTACATTACAAACATATAACCAAATAACAATTCAAATTTCAATGATAAATGTTCCCATTTCTTATATGAAAAAAAAACAAACTTATTGTTTCCTTTGCACATGTACACATAAAATCAATCTGCTTAAGGCAAGTATAAGATTCCAATCAGTCACAAGTTATATAGACATGTAGTCACCAACCTACACATTTACCATGCAGAAACATATACACAGCCACTTTTTATGATGAACTTTCTTAACATATGAGGGATTATTTTGTTTTTAAGATGACTTGTTACTCAAATGACAATATTCGTCTGACATATTTTCAGTGAGAAACCATAACAGGATCTTATTGATCATGTAGTTGTAACAAAGGAAATCGTACCAGGCAGAAATGTCTGCCTACAGCGGTAATGAGATCTTGGTGTTATCAGAAAATAATTAGATCTAATTTTAACCAACGTAAATAATAAATCACAGAGCTAATGAATTAAAATTTTTATGTGTATTAAATAAGACAAACTGTTCCCTACCTTTCTATTCTTTCACGATCCTGTCTTTCTCTTTCAATTTGTCTTTCTCTCTGTTCCCTTTCCATTTTATCCCTTTCTAAACGTTCCAAATGTTCCTGTTCAATGCGTTCCCTCTCAGCAATTTCCCTCCTTTTGATATCATACCTATCAATTTCTCTCTCTTTCAAAGCATACAAATCACGAAGTAATTCTTCTTGGTTTTTATTTAGAGCCCAGTGTGGGGGTACTGGAGTAGACGGATGTTTCTGCTGCCACAAGAGTTCGAGCTGCTGTGTAAGATTGGCTGGGTAAGCTGTAGCAGTTCTTTGTAACAGTAATTGATACTGTAATAGTTGTTGTTGTTGAATGGCTGCATATGTGGCAGGGTCTATACCCATCCCTGGTGATGGCATGGCTGGTACCTGGGCTAAAGGGTGATACAATGAAGAGAGATGTGATCTCTGCATTGAAGACTGATAAGATGACCCAGAAGGCATAGCACTAACTGGTGGTGGAATGGGCATTCCTGGGTAGGCTGCAGGCATCTTAGGATGCATACTCTGCACATTGCTGTGAACTGTGTTTTTCTTCATTAATTCAGGATCCCTGTACGGGTGAACTGGTTCAGTTTTGTCTAAAACTAATGGACTTGATGATGGACTGTTTTTTATTTTATCTGAACGTGAACCAGGTCTGCGATCCTCACTAGTTCCTGAATGCTCACTTGCACGAGAACTAGACCTAAATTCTGAGTTACTATAATGAGAAGTTTGAAATGCATTCACATGATCATATCGGTTTTCTTCTGAATGTTTTGTAGATGGAGATGTTGATTTCCTGGATGTTTGATGCTCAAAACTATTGGATGAATGAGTTTGGGTTTTTGCTAATTTGGTTAGCTGGTCCGTGACAGATTGATTCACATCGATTTTTTCTGTCAAGTTTGTAGACGGAGAATTTGCTTGTGAGTTGTTTGCTAACAAACGTTGTTTCATAAAGTGCATATTATCGTCTGTTTCGTCGTGTTTCTTTTCTTCAGAAGTTGTATTATCCTCTGAACATTCTTCCACTGTCTTCGATTCTAATTTCACCGTTACTTCACTAGTAGTATTTTCCTCCTCATTTTTATCACTTTGTTTTATGTCATCACTAGTAGATATTACAGTGTCTTCACTTTTTAAAGTTTCACTTTCCTCGTTTTCTGTTTTTGGTTTCTCCTCTTCTTTCTCTCGCACTGAATTAGTGTTTGTAATATCACATGAAATTGACTTCTCCTTGTCAATATGAGAATTTTTCAATGTTTTATCACAGTCACCTAATCCTTTATCTCGCTTGCTAGGATTAGGTTTGACAGATTTGTCTTTAGTTGATTTAGATGATTTTAAAGGTTTTTTAGATTCCTTGGTTTGAACTCTGCATGGTGATTTGACAGTAGAATCTTTCACCTGTCTACGTGTTATTCGATCAGATATTGGTTCTGCCTTTGATTTTGCAGACTTACAGTTTGACACAACATTTGTTGGTTTAGCAGTAGATTTAATAGAATCCTTTTTAATTTCCTCATTTACACGAATCTTTCTTGTCTCTAATGACCGAGATCTTTTATTTACAGTTGACACATCAGGTTTTGTTTCAACAATAATTTGCTCTGATTTTCTTTTTCTATCTGGCTTTGAAGATCTAGAATTTTTATCTGAAAAGATATTAAAAACCTTTTGAGTGTTCTTTAACACAACCAATTAAAATGATTGAAAAGATAGCTCTATATTTAACATTGATTATGTTACCTGAAACATACACACGATCCCTTGTCTGAGCCTGCTCATTCAAACATCAATAAACTGGTTATTACCAACAGTGAATAGCGATTCTGATTTGAAAGGACTAATATTGAAAAGCTGGTATTGATTCTGTCATGCAGATCTCATCATTATAGTCGGTCATATTGAACAAATTCTTAACGACAGACCAAGTATGAAAAGAAACAAAGAAAGCATATTTTGATGATAATACAAAGCCATACAAAACTCAAAGAGAACTGATAAATAGTGTGATACTTCCCTGACTTTCAAATGCTAATTATATCATAAGATCTCTTTACATTGTAAATACTTATTCCAACATTGTAAAAAAAGATAAAATGCTTGCCTGCTTTGTAGAAGGTAGTTTTCCTTTTAACACTCCTTATGTAAATTTTACCTTTATAAAAATGTACCAGAATTCTATCTTACTTTACACTGTCAAAATATCTGCCTGTCTTTTTGCATTGTCAAAATACCTGTCTGTTTTTACAGATCAAAATATCTGTATGTTTATGCCTTAAAGAAGAGCTTGTATTGAAAAGTTTACAATTCCTGTTAAAACTTGTTTTCTTTGTACTTTTATAGGATTATCTGATTAAATCCCTTGCCTGAGTGACCATGAAGGATTACTAATATGTGTAGGGAATTCAATATTTAATAATAAATAAATAGAGAGATTACAAAAGTAATACACCAAAATTAAGGACTTATTAAAATTAAGCCTAAATATGTTTTACATTGTAGACAAGCTGATTAGATTGCTAAGGAATAACCCCTTCTGATTAAACTAAATTTAAATTCTTTTTAACATGTATGAACACTAACACAAATATACCCATTTTTCTTATTGTCATCGTTTTAAAAGATTTTTAGTTGCTTGTTCAGAATAAATGATTTTTTTTATATCCTCACTGGCATATTAGTGAAAAAACAAAAACACCCAAATGATAGATATGCTAATTTGAACAATGTTTTTTCACTATGCTATGCCTAAAAGTAACTTATCAAATAATCTTTTTTTTTCCATTATGATCAAAATTCATAATTATATCAAATGATTCTCATCAAAAAATTCTATTGAATCAGCATATTTCCCTTGGTTGGTTGGAAACTAACAAAATCATTGATTTTCAAATCACATTAGCCCTATTTGTTTGATCATATACAAAAGCGTAAATATCTTTTTTATTGTTCAAATTAAACTTAAATTTTAATGTGCCATACTTCTGGGTTCCATTAGATTTAAAATAAAAAATCAATAGTATTACATAATCAACCAGTAAAAACTTGGTCAATGTCTTTATAATATGCAAAGAATAAATGAATGATTCGAACAAAACTTTATTCCACAGAAAAATAAGCAAATTAAAAGCTGGATTCCTAATAAATTAGTTTATTTTGCTTACCTCTTTGTTGTTCAGTAATTGTAGGTTTTTGTTGAGTTTTTCCAGACTTGTTTTGATCTACTGTGGTAATGATCTGACCTGATATCTGTAATGATAATAAAAAGAATCCTAAAATAGCAGATCAAGGGTTTGGTTAATCTCACATCATGCTAAATTTTAAGAAGTCTGATACAATAGTTAATTAACTTCAAAGGCTGAAATTTGTCTCACAGTATTATAAAAATGTGGTTCCACCTTCACTAATTTGAAACAATAAGTAAACTGTTTTCGGTCTGTCCTTCAACTTGTTCACTAAACAGATATTTATTCCCACTAAAGATAAATGTCATACAATAACTTGTACTTGGCAAGCTGCCAAACTCACATAGGTTGTTATTAACACATTAATACAACTAAAAAACCTATAAAATCTACATAATAGGTTTACAGCTATGTAAACTTGTAATAGGTAATTACATCAAGATCAATGGTTTGTAAAGAAATAATGAATCCAATCAACAAATATACATGGCAGAAGTTTAAAATTCTCTCCCACAAAGAGTACACATATAATCTCCTTCCCTTATCTCAAGTATTTGGCTTCCCTCTCTTTATCATGAAAATGCCTTGAGCAACTGACAAACACTTCACTTATCAATTCACATTAACAGGAGGGAAGATCTCAAAATACATATTCACTGACAATCATGTCTTGTTGGAGTGCCCTCTGGGAAAGATATTATACAAAGTACAAACACATATTTGTCTGTTGTGTTAAGGGATAAATTGAACTGGCTTGTTATTTATTGTCTTCCTTTCAAATCTATATTTTAATACTTTGTTCAAATAATGATTGTGCTTTTAATCGGTCAAATTACTGACCACCTAAAGTTTTGCTTTAACAAATGGATTATATTATGTTCCAGTCCAATACACAAAAAAAGTTTTTATTAACTAATGAATGCTGTTATGACATGAAATTTAATTCACATGCTGGATGAGCAACTATAAGGGGCATTGACCTTTTTTTATTTCCTTTATAAATTTTCCAATGAGGATTTTTTTAGGTACTTTATTTTAATCAACAATCAGTTTGTTTCCTGATGTAATTCCTTCTTCCGATCTCAGACAGTTTATCAAATATAGATGTATTGATTGTACTTTTTTACCCTGAAATGAAGGAGATCTTTCATGACAAACAAGCTTGATAGCTGTCTATTCCAGTCTTGTGTTAGGTTTATTACATCGGACATTTGTCACTGCCGTAAATGGAATGTGGTTGTAACCACGCCATATACAATAATCAAACATTCACAGTATAATCCAGTGAGAGACAAGCATACATCAATAAAACTTTCTCCATCCAGGGAAATGATTTTAATGGATAACGGCTACATAGAGAAATCTATTGATCATCCGGTCTTAATGGTATGTAATGTCAAAATCACTGCTAACATTTAGCTTTGCATGCAAATATTGCCAGGATGGGGTACCAGTATTAATTTACCAGTAATGGGTACCAGTTTTAATTAAGAGTGTACTATCTATTAAAGTGGAAAGAAACAACAACTGAGATTTGACCTTGAAGTCCTGATAATAAATTGATGCTAAAGCTGACTTACAATAAAAATTTCTACAAAAAAACAAAGAGCTGCAAGAAAATGTATTTAATGCTAGAGTATTAGATAACAGTTAAAAGATAAAAGCTTTCTTTCAAAACTTATTTCTATAAAAATTAAGAAACCATGTTGAAGAGACAAAGAAACCCTTGTTTTTACCTCTTGCAGAAGGAAAGCAATACACATGGTTACCATCATCATAAAATAATTACATTAACACAGACATGTAGAAAGAATTCCAGCTAAATATAATCTGCCATTATGACTTCCTCCATGTTTTAATGGTTTCCATTGGGGAAATGCCATCAATTGTAATTTTATTACTTTTCAAGATGAAAGAAGAAATTTTCTTTATTACTTTGTCAATTGAGAAACAGGAGTTGTACTTTAGATGACATTCGAAATATGCATTATTTTTTTACAGAAGATAAATGGTATGAACGTAAACAAGATTTAAAACAGGTCTTCCATCATACCAATGACATAGACAAACATATTACCTTTTGTTTAACTATACATACAGGTGGTACTGGTCTACGAACATGTATACATTTACTTCTTTTTATTGTGGACAAAATTGTTATACCCATTTTTGTCACCAGGAAGGAGATTAAATTGTTTTAAATTTGAAAAAGGTTTGATAAAGAGACTATTATCTAGTGTGTAACAACAGGTCATACCACATTATGTCCAGATTTTTAACCTATGATAATGGGAAAAAAATTTCACACCTCTAACAAAATTCACACCTAGCTTAAGCAGATGTGATAAACTGAAAAAAGCAGATGGTGTTAAAATCCCTCTGAAGGTCCAAAGTAATGACTAATAATATATTGATTTTTCCTGCATTGTAATGCACCTTTAGATTCTTATCCATGAGTCAACTTGCATGCTTCCATCTGTCTGGCACTACATTGTCTGTTTATTGTTTCTAATTCTATGGACAGACTTGATTGTAAAATTTCTGTTATGACAAACACATTCAAAGAAACTGTGTGAATTAAACAAAGCCTTTCATAACATTTTTGTGTATTCAGTTGAGCTACACTGCATATAACCACACTATAAAACATTTTTAAATAATGATTATAAATTTCACATTAACAAATAATTTGCCTAATCCACAAACCATGATAAATATGATGAATAGGTGTTTAACATCCAGTGGCAAATATCACATGCATATCAGGATGAGAACGTTCTGAATATGAACCCTGCTTTGTTACTACACTGACATGGTGAGCCAAATTTATAACATGCTTGTTCCCAATGTAAAAGTCCCCCAGAAGACATGAATCCCTAACCTGGACACATTAAATTTCCACAACACAAAAATATGTGCAAATCAGACACAACGAGAATGTGTCCATAGAACACCGATGCCCCACTCGCACTATCATTTTCTATGTTCAGTGGACCGTGAAATTGGGGTAAAAACTCTAATTTGGCATTAAAATTTAGAGTGATCATATCATAGGGAACATGTGTACTAAGTTTCAAGTTGATTGGACTTCATCAAAAACTACCTTGACCAAAAACTTTAACCTGAAGCGACCAAAAACTTTAACCTGAAGCGGGACAGACGGACGAACGGACTCATAGACCGAAAAACACATAATGCCCTAGGACTGGGGCATAATTACCAATCTTGCAAACAAATAACAACTTCACGGTTAAAACTACCTTACACAAAAACTTGACATGGGATAGATAAATGGATGGATGGACACTAAAAAAGCTATTGTACTGGCTAATTATAATCCATTTTGGACAATTTCTTTGTTCTCAAAGAGTCACATTGTAACCTTAAAAAGTTAGCAAGTCTTAAATTTCTGTAAGTTATCATTAAACCAGCTGACAATCCTATCTTTAGAAAATATACTGTCTTTTCAAATGACTACAAAAAAAGAGATCTAACCAAGCAGAACATGGTAACAATTCCTAACAGCATTTTGACATGAATGTAGGTCTCTGTATAAAAACTGTTTATCATCAATACAATAATACCTTCAGACATTGTCATTCTGCTTGGCTAATCACGAAAAGACAACTTAAGGTAAATTTGTCACAAAAATACAGGTATGTCCTCGGGGTCACATGAATCATTTATTCTTCTTATAACAAAAGGTCAGATCTTGTAACTGTAAACAACCCACATAAAAATCCTCGGAAAGATTTAAGATAAAATCCATAAACCTGTTCTTTATATGGACGTAAAGATTTGATTTTATTCGGTCATGTTTTATTGTATATACAATACTTTTCAAAAGTTGTTGTTGTGATTTCTATTTGCGTCATTATTCAAATGCATCACAGTTAATTAAATGCAACATGCATAATTATTGCATCTGCTCCTTGTTTTTTGTTTACTAAAGCATTGTAAGTTTTTCTGGCAAATGGTTTGACTTGAAATCTGATCTTGAAGCTTCTTGATTATGCAGAATTACAAAAACAAACCTTTAAAAAAAACACTTAGTTGCATAATAACCTTGTATCTTAGATTACAAGCAAATTTTTATTTCTTTTGAGGTAACTAAAAATAAACGAATTAATGTTTGAAAATCGTGTGTTGCTGGGTGACTGTCTCACTAATGTTTACCTCACATCTCCTTTCATTGGTAATGCTACTGCCTGGTCAAATTTGAAATTTCTTTACTGGTATTTAGGTCTGGACACATAGGAGATAACAGTCATTAGTGTCCTTTCATTTTAAACTTTTGTTGTCCAAAAGAAGGATAAGTATAATCACATGACAAAATCCCTGTCATCGAGTGTAAGTACTTTGTGGTTTTGACAAGTTACATAATCTCTGCACTCAATGTTTACAACAGACCTGGTAACCGCACCTCTCACTCTCCAAATTGTTAACCACAATCTGCTTAATGTTTCAAAATCACTAAATGATTGATTAAATTTTAAAAAGTCAGGTCAATACTGTATGCGTCATCAAGTTTTCTAATCTTAACTGCAGATGCCTGTAATTTGATGGTGGTACATGGAAGTTCAATGGATTAATCAATACCTATAATTTATTTCTTCCTACCTTAAACCATTACCAATAGAACATTACATTTGAGCTTTGCTATAATTAAAAGGGAAATTCATTTATGAGAATTTCCATTACTATTGAACAGAATGACATAACTTTAATGAACATTTTCCAAATGAATGTATTTGCTTTCTTCCTGTTTACTGCTAAAATAGTAAATTTGAATGTCCTTATTTCATTTTACTAGCCATCATGCCTAGTGTCAATTAAATTACAAAAAGAATAAGAAAATGCTTCTTCAGAAGAATCAAGGACGTTCATTTTAAGGGCAGATACAGGAAGGCCAAATTATGGTCTCCCAACACTATCTGTATGGCACAAGTAATATTTAACATTGACATAAAAGAAAAGCCAAGCTCACCCTTCCCCTTTCAACAATGATCAAAACCCATATCACACAGTAAGCTATAAAAGGCCCCGAAATGACAAATGTAAAACAATTCAAACGAGAAACTTAACGGCCTGATTATGTACAAAACAATAAATGAAAAACAAATATAATATACAGCAACATGTGCATGATGCATTTGAAGTGTAGCATATCACAAATTCATGTAAAAAGAATTGATTTAGGTGTGGCAATATTCTTCAATTCTGTAATCCTATCCACGTTTTTTTTTATTTCACATTTTAATGATATACAAATAGAAGCATCTTTCTTTAACTGACCTGAAATGTTATGTTAAGCCAACAAATTGTATCCTTGTGTACTGCTTGATTATGTAACAGACCTTAATGTGGCTTTAACTTCCCTTCCTTGAATAATCCAAAATTATCTACTCAAGCAATAAAATTAAATCACCTGCCTAAATATTTCTTAATCATGTATGTACATATAAATATCTGGTGTAATAAAATCTTGTCTGTCAAGAAATAAATGATTAAGTAGTCAGCTGGCAAACAAAGAGAAGTCAGCCATGTTTTGGTGGGAAATGAGGCCACATGGCAAAGTATGAGTCATACCTTCACAGATAAAAGACCAGCTAGGTGATAGTAAAATGTGTGTATCAAAGTCTAAAAGGCACTTCATAGTAGGAGTATCTGTATCCTGTTGTGTGAGAAACGAGGATTGGAGTTATAAATAAACATAAGTACAAAGCTTACAGAAAAGTTTCCTTTTATTTACATTCAAATTTTGGTTACATATATTTAAATGATTTCAAGGGTAAATTAAACAATTTAGTAATACAATGGTGCAGTATAATGAATGTTGATTACGTAGGTTCTAAGGTTAAAATACATTTATATCAAACCATTGATTGTCATGAAAGCTCTATTAATTAGTTTATTTCAATGTTAAACTGAGCAAATCTATTAAAAGATATATGTAACTGAGAATTAAACACTGGCAACATACAAATGTAAAACCTATTTTTTGCAAGGTGAAATGTTCAGATATAACACAAACAACACATCCTTCTTTGAGAGAGATAACATACTTGGTTGATAAAACAATCTGGATTGGATCCAGCATTTAGACTGGAATGATAACTTACACAAATACATATGCTAATCTATATTTGTCTACAACATTGATAATACACATAATATCCTTCACTATACCAACTGACCTATTTACCTTCCCCAACCTGTTCATTACCCTTTTTCTTTCTATTTTTTAGTTTTTATCCTGGTAAACATGGACAAAAGTGGAAATCCGGCCATTTACCAACCCTACTTATAATCTTATGCTAATATTTTATCATTTCAGATACTTTGGAAGGAAAACAGGTCACTTAAAAATCTATTAAAATTTAGATATAAAGTCATATGTCATAAGCTAAAACTAAAAGCTCTGTTATTGACAGTGGACATTTTGTGTTAACCTAATCGTACAGTAGATAATCAATGGTTCCACCCATCTCTTAATGAAGTAATAGATAAGTCAGATTTGTCATTACTGTTTCCCTATGGTTAGATCAATAAACAGATATACTGTAAGATTCAGGGCTTATTATAGTGACCATTGATCAATAGATCAGTAGATTTCTGGTTACAATTTCTACTGGAAGGGCGTTTATAGATATAGACATAAAAGAGGACATCAATAAGTGTAGTGGCCACAGAATCAGATTAATAAACACCAAAAGTAGTGGAAGGGTCGTCAAATGAATAGATCAGATCGACAAAAAACATTCATAACTGAGGGGTCATCAGATCATTAAAAAATATTCATAACAGAGGGGTCATCAGATCAACAAAATACACACCTAACGAAGGGGTCATCAGATCAACAAATAACAATGGAGGGGTCATCTGATCAACAAACAACAATGGAGGGGTCATCTGAACAAAAAATAACAATGGAGGGGTCATCAAATCAACATTCATAATAGAGGGGTCATCAAATCAACATTCATAATAGAGGGGTCATGAGATCAACAAATCTTATTGGTAGTGGAGGGGGTCATAAGATCAACAAAGCTCATTGGTAGTAAAGGGGTCATTAGTACTTTTTGCTAGTTTTACATACATTAATAAAAAGAACTAAATCTCATCATTCAAAACTAGAGCTAGTACCATGAAAACTGAAAATGATGTGTCTTATGTTGTTATTGATTACCCCCTTTGTACCTTAACTCCAAGATAATTAAACATTCATCACATGTTTTATCAGTCCATGTTAATTTGTACAACTGGTATCAGATATAGATATTATTGATACCAACAACCCAAGAGCTAGTCACCTGACACATTGTATTCAATGTGACCTCTACACCTGCATGTTCAATCGAAAAGACCATATTTAAATTTACTGAAACAAAGCCATCTTTCCCAGCACAGCAAATTTAATATCATCTCTTTGAAGCTACTCTAAATTTATGACAAAACAAAGACATGTCAACTGTTTCAATGTAACAAGAAGAAAAGGAGAACCTTTATGTAGCAATACATTAATTAAATAACGAATAAGAAGAATATAGTCAGTTCTTTTTATTTAAATCCAAATCAAACATATTATGTAAACTGAAGGCCCTACCTACCACTAGATTTTAAATTATCAATGATAAATGACCTATTTTCCCTGGAGGGTAATTTTGTAAATTTACATCAATCCTAAATCAACTCATTAAAGATGTAATAATTCCTGTTATATTCCCTGGAGGTGACATTGATGAATAAGTAATGTAATTGTCATATTCTGGGGGCTTTACTAATACATCACATGTCCTCAAGTCACACGGATGTGATAAAATTACAACTGTAGTCTCAGGGTTTTTAGTTAAGACATTGCAAATATTTCTATTTTATAAGTAAATAATAAATCTGTCTTACCAAATTAGATGTTTGATCCTTTTCCTTATCCTTGTTAGCCTGTCGTGTTCGACGGGGTCCTATTCCAATCTCAACTCCTCGTAGTATAGAGTCTACCACTGAAAATTAAATAAAAGTCGGCCATTAACAACTAACGCAATGCAGTTAGGTCATATATTATGCATACAGCTTACGAAAATTAAATCCCAGGTGAATAGAAATACGTTTGAATAGGTTCAATTTACACTACAATCTAGAATAAATAGATGCAAAGAAATGTTCAGATCAGGTGACTCATAAAAAACAACTTTATAATCCTGCAATAACATTGAATAAACATGGCGGTTATCATACCAGGAGAAGCATTGATGAATCTGTCTCACATTCCAAACAATCTAAGTAGGAGGATAACAAAACAGCAAAAGGTCAAACTATCACGGAAATCTAAACCACAATTATAACTTTCTCTTTCCAAACTTCCTACTAAAAATTTCTAAAAAAAATACTACCATTTTGAACAAAAATCATGGTATGAAAGTCCACTAAGCAATCAGCATTGTCTAATGAATCTTTTCTACCTTCATTTGAAAGAGGAAATATAAAATATCATATTTACCTTAAAAGTGAAACAAAATTTCCACAAAAAATTATATTTCCTTCAAATGAAAAAGAACTGTTATCACACTAACACATGGACTGTAAAGTGAGATTGTAGTGCCTTGCAGCTAAATTGGACACACCATGTGATCTGTCCTATATTGATCAAACTTGATAGGTGTAACATAACAATTATAATATCTTGGTGACAGTGTGTGTGTAGTTATACTGGTGTATTGAACCTTTAAGCTAAATGTAAAGGTCACAGTCTGTGTTATTGAATTCTTAAAATATCATTACAATGCATATTTCTATTGTTAGTTATTGAATTACAAAATGATTTGCCTGCCATATGTGTATATTTATTTAATTGTATCTCAGTAGTGAAATATGCATTAATATTGTGAAATGGAATTTGTAAACAGGGTAATATAGTAAATTAGGTCATGCTGAAGGTATCAGCCATCTTGAATGGGATTTAATGTTTTTACATTAATATTTTATGACACAAATTGCTTATATAGTTGATTTAAAACCAGAATGACAGATGATATGCTTATCTAATAGGAAAAGTTTATTTAAAAATGATTGTTTGAAAAAAAGCCAGAAATTAGACATCTAGATGATTACTACACAAATCTAACAGGAAGGCATGTCTAGCTTGAAGTAAAAGTTGACAGCTCAGAGCTTGAAACATTGAGTAGACGACGATCCTTGTCTAATGTTGAATACTCCTAGAGGTTTTCATTTTTTGTAATTAGATTGCACCAACTATTTTAAGTTAAAATTTTAAATACTGACAGCCACGAATCTAAGCATGCCTGATCTTCTGAGGTCAACATACAACCTCAACAAGAAATGAGTGAAATACATTGTCAATTTTAAAGAGAAATGCTCACAGTTAATATAGTGTTTGTTAGTGGCAAGAATTGGAAAATTTACCCCCCCAGTTATTGGGACTTTTTTCATCAGATCATGATAAGAATATAGGGGGGTCCCAAAAATTCTTGAAACTGGACACACATGAGTCCAAAACAAGGTCCCATGCAATGATTAATTTTTGGAGAAATATTGTAAGATTACAAAAATTCACATAACCTGATTGTACTGATATAATTACTCCTTAGCTATGTAAATGAATAAGAATGAAGCCACCTTCATCAAATCTTAGCAGCTGGACAAGCATTAGCAGAAAAAACAGAATTTCCATACATAAAAAAATATGTTAGCCCTATACAAGGAAAGATTAGAAAAAGCCCAACAGCTAGTCGGTTAAAGAGTTCATCAGAGTTCCTGTTTCTTTGTAATTATATATATGCCGACTTTTAATGAAAGGATTAGGTCCAGTAAGACCCCTTTTTGGCCCCAAAATACGGTGTTTTACAAAGTTGTTGAAAATATAAACTTTTAGCTATTTATTGGAAAGTAGAATACTTTTGTTACATAAATATGGGATGTTTTTGACAGTACATTGGATATACATCAGGTACCAACATCATTATTTGATGCAAAAATACTAAAATCTTCACCCAATCTTTCTTGTGCTAATTGTAACATGGTTTTTGTCTAAAATGGAAGTGGCCTCACTTGTGTTCAGTCTTAATATTTAAATATATGTTGTATTTATTGATAATACATAACAAATATAAATGTTGAGACTGCACACGAATGTGGCCACTTCCATTGTAGACAAAAACCATCTGAAAAGTGATGTTTTATGGCATATTTGATAGATTTTTCATATTTAAGCTTGAATTTGAGCCTCTTTGATGACCAAATCAGTTAAAATCTTTAACATACACTTAATTGTACAAAAAATGACAAAAATCTTTCATCAGATGTACTTCAAATTTTAGGCCAAAATTACCCTTTACTGGACCTTCTCCTTTACTTACTTACTTACTAGTAGATTATTGAAATGTACCCTGGTCTGGTAAAATTGAAATTGTAAAAGTTGTGACCTTTTCACACATCACAGAACTTACCAAAGGAAATGTGGTACAGACATGGGGTGTATATAGATCAAAGGTTAGAGGAAAGGTTTGGGTAAGGGGCAGATCCAGGGTTTGGAAAGGTGGAGCATTAAAGACATAACTGTTTGTAATGTTAGATACATTTTTTACAAAATAATGCATAAAGATTTTTTTAAACGAAGGGTGTACGCCTTCTACACCTGAACTGAAACCACCATTAAAGAACACAAAATTACAGATATACTTATTACCCAAATGTAGAAACATGTCAAAATCAAACTGTTGTACAAGGCAAAAACCATTCACCTTTTGTCTGTATAGAATTTTTGTCAAATCATTGGCTGAATCTGAACAGGTTTCAATGTATAAAGAGATACCTTCCAGACTTTACTATATTAAATTTATCAAAAGTACTGATCTTTAAAGGATAGCTCCAAGGTACTTCAATCAAACAAATTTTACTATGAAATAGGAGAATGTCTCTTCAATTAAATAATATTTGCTAAGAAACGGAAATCAGGGGAATAATTTGAAGTGTCAGACCAATAAGTCCAATCTTACCAGTGTAGGAGTAAAAGCAAACACATAATTAAGTTAAGTTGATCAGTGTTTCAATTAGATGATATTAATGCTACAAAAATACATGTGAAGCCATTAATGTTATGAAGGTGAAGGTCATGTTTGATGTAAGGATATGATTACAGTGCGTCATTTGCCCTTTGTTTTCATATTTAATATTGATGTTTTCAATATAACTACATGAACAGGATATTATCACATTTAAAGGCCTAGAAATGGCCTAAATCTTTTGTATGTAATATATCAACACAAATCTGTTGAGGAAAGGCTTTCTCTGGTATCAAATACTTTTATCTGGATAAACACATGTAAATGAGAACCATAAAATTCACTTCAAAGGACACCAGACCCATACAAAAATGCTAACAAAGTATAAAATGGGCAGAGATGTGAATCAATAAAGATCCTATTAAAATACCATTTACACAATCAGACTTACTGTGCAGTCTGGTAATTGTGCAAGGATATTGATTTTATTATTCATCAAATGTTCCCCTGAGTGTCAATGTAAAGCTTAAATGGTATTCTCTGCTGGGAGAATCATACTCCATTAATCTTTTTCAGGAAATTCTAATATTTTTTTTCTTTATTCTGATGCAAAAATCAATAGCAGAGGAGACTTACATTATAAACAAGAATGTTTGATTTTACCACAGGTCACAGCTCCAATCAGACAACTGAATGCCAATCACAGCTGCCATTTTCATTGAATTCAAAATTATAGAGTAATTCACTGCATTCTAATCAAAACAACATTACATATCTAAGGCAAATTTTACAGACTACAGATTTGAAATGTTGCCCATCCATCACACAACATGCAAGATTTTATTGAAATACACTAAGCATGAGGACACAAGGTACAGATAAAACCCTTTAAGGATGTACTCAAGTGAAATTAAAAAAATCTAGAATTCAAAATTGATACTATTTGTCAGAAGAGCATTAGTTAGGGAACAAAATAAGCTAAAAAATATTGATAGGTTATGGAGCTTCTTTTCGAAATATTTAATTTTTAAAAAATGGCAGGAAAAGACTGACTCGGACTTTTACCTTATATTTGCATTGGTATTATTTGGGTCTCAAATCGAAAAAAAAAAAGAAATCTAGATTCTGCTTAAACTTTGGTAAATGACCTTTTATGAGCTATTGAAGTCTTATACAATGTATGAAAAGAAAAATGGGTGTTACGGAGCAAAATATTTTACCCTGTATCGTAGGAAAAAAACCAAGGAGTCCGAACATTTGACAAAAATTCCTTTACCTCACCTAAGTACATCCTTAATGTTGCAAAGTTTACAAGTCATCCTCAAATAACAAGAACACATTCTGTATTCAAAAACCTTAATAAATGTATCAATCATTTTTAACTGTTGGTTCATGATTGATGTTACCATTGCACTCTTATACCTTGTCACTGTGAACGATTTTTTGTTTTGTTTGAACTGTGCCTAATAGACATTTACAAACATATTACCATGACTTATTTTTATTACATATCTTAAAATTTAAGAATGATACTTAATTTACATGTTGTTGTAAATAGATCCTTCTAGATCTAACAAGACAATCAGACCCATATTGATTTTCTATAATGCAGTAACATCTGTCATATGTGGGAAGGTATTTACACAATCAGTGCACTTCTCTGGTTAGTCAACTTAAATTCCAAGGAAAAACGTAGCAAGCAACACACAAAATATGAAATTAATACTCTAAAACCTGCCTAAATATCCAATATCATGAACTAAAATTATTCAAATCCTCCTCATTTGGAATCTGTTGGATAGAAGTCTCATGGGCAATCATACCACATCTCCTAACTTGATATAATATAATATGTTTACTACACATGTAAACTTTACTACACATGTAAACTGTTGTAAACAAATATGAGTAAAAATGACTCTTTTAAAAGATAAAACCCAATTAAAAAATCTCCATAAAATGTGACCTATCTGCAGCCATTA